GGCCCCTATAGACAGTACACACATGGCTATTTGCTTTCTTCCAGGCCAGGAGGAGGATGTCTGACTCTTTAATCTTTTATAAAAACTTCACCTCATTATGTCAGGTTTCCCTTAGTAATCTGCCTTTGATGAACTCAAAAGGGATCCATAATTATATCTGTAAAATCCCTTTTGCCATGTAAGGTAACATGATCAACATGATCAAGGCAGTGATATCACATATATTCTCAAGTCCTGCCTACACTCCAGGGGAAAAGATTATACAAAAATGTGGGTCATTGAGGGTTCTCATAGAATTCTGCCTAACACATTCATGTAAAAGCTAGTTGGCTGGAAAAGAAAATCTTAAGATTTTATGATGATAACTACTCAAACTACAAGTTACTAAACTTACATATGGAATGGAAAGTTTATACAAGTTCTCAGGACACTGATAGATTTAGGAAGGCAATACACATTTTTTTCCTACACTAAATGGCAATATTTCCAACTTCCTAGCTACACAGAAGATTAAAAGCTACAGTGAAACCCCCTGCAGTTTTGAATACAGAGCTGCCCAGAGGCACCAAAGGGATTTCTGAGTCAGACTCATCAGGAGGAAAAAGGAGAATCAGATGAAAATTATGATTATTCATTCCACCATTTAAAGCATATAGAAGAAAGTGTTTCACCACTGCCTACAGAATAAATTCCAAACTCCTTAATCTGGAGTAAAAGATCTTCCATGACTTAACTGGCGCCTACCTTCCCATTTATCTCTCATGTCTGTATCAAACAGAAAGTTTCAGTTCCTTCAAACAATCACATGCATAAACACATGGTTTCTTTCTTTAGAATGCTCTACCACCTACTTTTACCCACAACCCATACAGTGAATTCCATTCATCATTTAAGATCCACTTATTCATTTAACATATACTTACTGAGTACTCTCATTTACCTCTGCCACAAAGTAGGGCACATCTCTGCTTCTTGTTTTGTACAAAAACTGTAGCCAGTTCATATGTCTGTTACTATACTTGTTAGATCTTATGTTTATATGTCCATCCCCCAAAAGTGAATACCTTAAAGAAATAATTCTGTTTTGGTTATATTTCTAGGACTAATTCAGGGATTGTTACAACTCACCAATCATGGTTTGCTCAAGATAGTAATAATAATGATAATGATAATAATAATATCTAAAATATATTCAGTGATTCCTTATACTGTGAAAACACTTTATACATATTGGCTTGTATGAAATCCTTGCAATAGCACTTTGAGGCAAGCTTTATGATCCTCATTTATTAGATGAGAAAACTAAAGTTCAGAGACAGAGGCAAGACTTCAATATGTTACTGATACTTCTCAACATTCTGTTCTCTATACACCAGTGTGGTCTCCAAACAGGAGCATCATTATCACTCACAAATTCAACACACTGCTAAATATATATGTTCTCGGTTTCCAACCCAGATGTACTCAGTCAGAAAATCTGGGGTCAGGCCCCTATAATCTGAGTTTTAACAGGCCCTGGAGGTGATGATGGTGCCTGCTATAGTTTGAGAACCATGCTGTATAATCTAACATGGAAATATACTGGCCAAGAAAATGTGATCAGCTAGGACTATGAAACAACTTTCTCCCAGAAACTTGGTGATTAAATTCATATGTTAGATAATAATGGAGAAAAAATGTACAGAACAATGACTCCTCCTGAAATCAGAAGTCACTTTGAAAGCCCCTACCTCTATCATACAGAGTCTGAAACTTAACACAGTGTCAATATGCTGAACTGGCCAGTGCTTAGTTAAAACGTATGGAAAATAATACGTTCCCTTGACTGGAATAACTACTTTGGGATTTACATAATGTTATACATTCCTCTTTATAGTAAAGTATTCCTCATAGCTGGTTTTATCACCCCAAAGGCATTTTAAACATCTCCAGGTCAAGGTTCTTGTTTTCTTCATTTGGATATTCACTCATGCACCACAGAATGCTGTATAATTGGGACACATTTTAACAATTTCTTATCGAATTGAATTTAACTGGATTTGATTAGCCTATCTTTTCCAATTCTTTATACTAGGGAGTGTCTTTTTAAAAAATCTCAAGTGATATTATAGTAAAAATTGTTACATGATAATAGGAAGTCAAATTTTGATTTCTGAAAAGACAGGAGTGCAAGATAAGGATAGAACACTCCTTTCAGTGAGGTGTATCTGCTGAGGGATTTTAGAGCGAACTTTCACTTCACATGTATAGAGCACAGCAATAATAATGAACGTGCATTCTGTATAGAATACTAAATACAGCATATTTGCCTATACACCTATAAAAACATTTTAGGGAACTCAGGAAGTTCACCATATCATTGTAAAGACAAACTATGTAAACATGCAAAATAAGAGTTATGAACAAATAAAGAGCTATATAGATGAATTCAAGTGTAGGAATAATAAATGCTCTATTAATGGCCATGCATTGAAGAACACAGAAAAAACAAAGCTTCACTACTTCTGAGTAGAACACAGAACCAAATGCTGATTCTGTATACGGTTTTCTCTTGATTTTCATTCTAGTCTTGATTCAGATGATCAGTATAGTGTTTATAGAACAGTATAGTGTTTATAAGATCAAAATTTCATCTTTTTACATATAAACAAAAGTCCCCTCTCTACCTAGTTTATGAATAAATCTGGCATTCAGAGCAGAAGCCAAATTTGTCAAAAATTAAGATATTTTATAAAAATATTTTTAATGAAAACATTATGCGTTTTTCATAAGGCTACAACGTTAAAAACAATCAACCAATATTAATGACCAGTATGTTAGTCTCTGACCTCCCTGAGGATATATTTATCCGAAACACAAATAAAATGGTAAGAAATTAAGAGAAACTAACTCACTAACTAATTATGTCAAAATTCAGAAAGAGATGCATGTAGGTAATAAAACAATTTAACCGAAAGAGAGTATTTAAGAAGAACATTCTAACATAAACCAAGTCTTTCACATAGAAAACCATCTGATTTGTAAGAATTCACTGCCAGGAGCTTTCTTATAGGCCAAGGAAATCGGATTTTAAACTTATCCTCCAGGTTAGGACTTTCAATCAGAAATGCTTATGCAGAAAAAGTGGCTGGATTAGAACCTCATAGTAAGATAACTCTGGATACAGTGTAGAGGGTCCATTTAGAAAAGCTCCAACCAAGACTAGACATTTAACACACTAACCTAAGCAAATATATCCTAAAGGCAGAATTAGAATGGATGGTACTGAGCCCTGGCAGAATATAAGAGCAAGTTTAACTTAGCAAAGTGATGTATCTAACTTGTGAAATGGGTGTTGTACTTCTCCAAAGTTAGTCCAATAAAATGTATTTATTAGAAGTTCTAAAGTAAAGGTAGTAATTATGGATAAATTACAGATAGTTCCTTGTTTGGGGAAAGAAATATAAAGAGAGAAAGTAATTAAAATAGAAAAGAGGTAGAATAATTGTATGGACTGTAAACCCATAATTTCTTAGTAATATAGGCAATTCTACCTGTTGGGCCTCCATGCCTAAGTAAGATACTTGAATTACAAGTTAAAATAACCAGAATGGTTTGCATCAATCTATCTCCTAGAAGGTTACCTTGAGAATAATACCTATTACTATATAAATAGGAAAAAATTTTAACAAGCATAATAGATGATTCTTATATTTGGGTTTTAATGTACATGTGATGTCAGGTCCAAGATTTCTGTATGTGGGGTACAAAAACCACTACCAGACTTACTAGCCATCTCCTCTATAAACTTCTTAATCCACCCTAAAAGAGTGTGTGTGTGCACGTGTGTGTTTAAGTGTATGAAGTAAGAGCAAAATTATGCTGAATATTTACATTTCTGTGCATTTTAACTGAGACAAGCACATTATTTTACCCTGTGTGAGAGCTACTGAAAAACAGATTTATTGATGTTTAGCTAGTTTTATTCCCAAAACTTTATATTTTCAGAACCAACAAGTTGAAGAAATAATTCATGGAGTTTCTCTGTCTATAATATAAACACTACAGATGAGCTCTGAAATAATCACATCTAACATGAACACTTAGCACTTGCTATTGTCAAGTACGAATCTACATGTTTTTTATATATTAACTTATTTATTTATCCAAGTTTCCCACTAGATATATATCATTTTCTTTTTTAAGATTTGTTATTTATTTATTTAATCTATTTTTGGCGGCGTAGGGTCTTAGTTGCCGCGCGCAGGCTCCTCCTTGAGGCATGCTAAACATTCGTTGCAATGCTCGGGCTCTTTGTTGCAGTGCGCAACCTTTTCTCTAGTTGTGGTGTGAGGGTTTTCTCTTCTCTAGTTGTGGTGCACGGGCTCCAGGGCATGTGGGCTCTGTAGTTTGGGGCCCTCAGGCTCTCTAGTTAAGGCGCTTGAGCTCAGTAGGTGTGGTGCACGGGCTTAGTTGCCCCGCGGAATGGGGGATCTTAGTTCCCTGACCAGGGATCAAACCCACGTCCCCTGCATTATAAGGTGGATCCTTTACCACTAGATCACCAGGAAAGTCTCTAGTTATATATCATTTTAAAACTGTTTTACGTAAGAGAAAAATGGGGCACACAGTTGATATTAATATACCTTGTAAAATTACCTAATTTAAGGTAAATCTGGTTCAAATTACACTTAATCAGAAAGTGACTGTGGTTTGAAAAGGAAAATGTAGGGCTTCCCTCGTGGCGCAGTGGTTGAGAGTCTGCCTGCCGATGCAGGGGACACGGGCCCCGGTCCAGGAAGATCCCACATGCCGCGGAGTGGCTGGGACCATGAGCCATGGCCGCTGAGCCTGCGCGCCCGGAGCCTGTGCTCCGCAACGGGAGAGGCCACAACAGTCAGAGGCCAGCGTACCGCAAAAAAGAAAAAAAGAAAAGGAAAATGTAAAATGCCCTGGATCTAACACTTCACACTAGTTTCAGCACATTAATTTTGATTTGGAGACCTTTCCCCATTCCTTACCTTTAATCTCTTTGTCATTTTTGAACCATCTTATATCAGCTGCAGGTTTACTACCAGATGTTTTACAAGTCAGCTGCATCAAGTCTCCCTCCATAACTGGGGATGAAAATCCGCTAATTTGAGGCTTCTCAGGAACACCTGAAATTTAAGCAAATGAATGAAATAAACATTAATCTCCAGGGTTGATTTGTTCTTACGACTACTACTTTCAGAAGCAAAGCTAAACTGGGTGTATAACTGACAATAACTTCAATCAAGAATAATAAACCAGGGCTTCCCTGGTGGTGCAGTGGTTGAGAGTCTGCCTGCCGATGCAGGGGACGCGGGTTCGTGCCCCGGTCTGGGAAGATCCCGCATGCCGTGGAGCGACTGGGCCCGTGAGCCATGGCCACTGAGCCTGTGCATCCGGAGCCTGTGCTCCGCAATGGGAGAGGCCACAACAGTGAGAGGCCCGTGTACCGCAAAAAAAAAAAAAAAAAAAAAAAAGAATAATAAACCAAAACATAATAATAATAAACTGCTATATAATAAAATAAATGACAAAATATATAAAAAATATATAGCGAGATATATATACACATACATACAAACACATATGTGTCTGTGTAAATATGCATATGTGTGTGTATATTATCCAGAAAGCATTTAAAGTGCGTTTAAAGTAGTTTTTTTAAATTAAATTTTACCTGCAGAAATACTCTTTATAATCTTAAAAACAACCATATCTTAAAATTTACCAGTGTGGGGCTTTAAAACGGTAGATTGTTTGCACTGGGCAAAAAAAAATCCACAAAGCATATTTCTTCATTCTTTAGCAAACTGTGATTTAACCAAAATAGCACATTTCATTCCTGATTTCAGAATTCTTAAAGCTTAAAAAATATTTTTATCCTCTGTGTACTTTTTTCTAGAAAATGCATTTTGGAATAAAAGATTCATTAAAAATTGCAACTATACTTATTTTTCTGATTCTTCTAAATTAGAGAATGTCTCTTGATGTCATTTGTATTAGAAATGTAATTGCAGTTTTGTGGAGCATGATATGTATTATTATTATTATTATTATCATTATTTTGCGGTACGCGGGCCTCTCACTGTTGTGGCCTCTCCCGTTGAGGAACACAGGCTCCGGACGCACAGGCTCAGCAGCCATGGCTCATGGGCCTAGCTGCTCCGCGGCATGTGGGATCTTCCCGGACCGGGGCACTAACCCATATCCCCTGCATTGGCAGGCGGACTCTCAACCACTGCGCCACCAGGGAAGCCCATGTATTATTTTTAATGCTAGTTAATGCTAGCTACTTATTACCTTTTCTAGTCCAGATCATCCAATGAATAAGCAGATAACTAATATTCAGAGATAGACATTGATGATTTAAATAATACAACATTACATATTTTTGAGGCAATAATATTCTGCTGTCATGACAGAGGTTTATTAAAATTTCTTCTAAAAATATTCAATAATAAAGGCAGACTGAAAGTTTCTTTATTGTACTATTTGATTCAGTTTGAAAAGAATAAAATGTAAGAATGTTGGAAGGCGCCAATAAAAGAAATACAAACTAAAACAACAAGAACAACAAAGATAAATGACAGATCAACATATTCCATTAGCTGGCTAGCTTTCTTTTCTTTTCGTTCACCTTCATATAGCTTTTTTTTTTAAAAAAAACAAACATGTCACATCACCATTTAATAAACTGAAATTAGCCACTTTCCTATTTCTTGGGGTCTCAAGTTGGCTCTCTACAGAACAATACATTAATCTTAGGCAGCTGCTATCCTGAGATACTCCATTTAGTGGGTGTGTTTTGTCCTTAATGGCAAACTTGTAAAGATTTTTATACAATAGTCCCAGTGGGACTTGCAAAGAAACATATTTCATATCCTATGCACAAAACCAATTCACTAGCAGGATTAACTTTAATATTCTCACCCAAAAGAACAGCATGCATTAGTTCGTTTAAATGCAGTGTTATGCCTTTATCTATCAAAAAAGGAAGGCAAGCTAAGGGCAAAAAAAAAAAAAAAAAAATCAATCTTTAAATTCCTCTAACTTGTTCAGTACACAGGTGTGTTTCAATGAATTCCAGCAATTTCAGCTGATTGGGCCACTGACGTCTGTGGAAGCACAGAGAGCTGTGAGCTGCAAGCTTATTTCCTCAGAAACTCTATGAATGTATTGCTTTTTGGTGTCACTATAACCTTTAGAAAAATGGCCCAATACTTAGAGAATAAAAAAACAAAGAAGCTACAAGCTGCATGCGCAAGCGACATTATGTACTTCATTTAGTAATCTAGAAAACTACAAAGCTAAAAGGCAAGAAGACAAATAGAAATGTTAGGGTCATTTAAATACACTAAAATACACAAATGGGCATATTTGGAAGCCAATAGATATTAGGGAAGATCCCATTAGGTGACTGATGATAAGGTGGCGGAGCATCTGATAGACACATGGAAGTCATTATGTTCATTATTCTATCACTTTATAAAAGGATTACCACGTATACAATATAGAGATGATTTGACACAAAGGAATTTAGTTGAAAATCAAGAAACCTGGTGTCTATTGCTGGCTAGGAAACAAAATGGCTGTTTGCTCTTGGGAAGTCATACAAATCTTTATACCCCTCTTTATCTATTTATAAAATGGGGGAAATGACTAAGTGATTTTTTAATGCTTTTTGATGATCCTCAAAGTGTAGATCTGTTATTGAATCATGTTGCTGTAGCTGTACACACCTCTCTGGCTTGTGATCACATGGTGTTAGTCCCTTGCACTTACCCAGAACAGTGAGATAGGCCTTGGAAGTTTTGACAGGCATTGTAAATAAAGAACAGGTGTACTGTCCTTCATCAGAGAGAGAGACATCACTGACGCTGATACTCAGTTCATGCCAGGAAGCCCGAACCAGCTCGATCCTATTGTCCCTTAAAGCTGGAAAAAGAAAATACTGAAAATATGAATAACAACATTAGGAAAAGTTGCTACTGTTAGACTACATGTTTTTAGCACAACACAATAAACATTTTCTTTGGCCATATGTCTAAATCTGGTTTCCTGAAATGTTTTAAAGGAAGGTTTAAATATATTGAAATATTTTATCAGATTTAAGTAGAATTAAATATTCCTTAATGTTCTGAGAAATACCTTTTTAATTAAATGATTGCATCTAGTAAGTACAATACCTTGGATGAGGTAGATATTGATGGTGACAAAAATGGATTTCCTTCACAAAGTCTTTCATGAGTTGTCAGTGCCAAGAAGAGCTGTAAACAAAAAATTTCACTTCTATGCCCAGATAAATTTGGGAAAACTATGACTGCTCAATTCCTTCTAGGAAACCAACAATGAACCTTAGCATATTGAAAGTTCTCTACAGTAGAGACACCTGTTAAGCTTTTTTTAAATCAGAGCTAACTTTCAGCTGAAAAACACCTGTACTGTACCTGACATTAAATTTGCTCTGACTGGTTGGTGCCTCTGCTGTACTGTCTGTTAAATACTTTTAATATATTCTTTGGTTCAAACCACCTTTTCTATCACAGAACACTTGTTTTCACAGATCTCTTAAGCATCTTGCTTATTTATGCTTCTTTTAAATCATTTTTGGAAAAGCATTAAAAAACTTAAATAGCACTATGTGCTCCACTAAGGACAGCTATAAAACCAGAAATTAAGCAAGAGGTGACTAAAGGAGTACTCTGAAAGGTAGAAAGAGGAAAGGGGACTGGTTAGTGATACCAGAACCTAAGGAATAACACAGTGTCTCTCTAACCAATTGTAAAAGGCATTTGAGGCCTGGCTTCTCCCAACCATAAACTAGCAACAGAAGGTGGCCTAGGTAGACTAATTTTTATCACAGAGCAAATGGGATTCCCACCAAGAACTTCGGGAGAGACTGGGCCACCCCCAAGGGGAATCAATCGGGAGCATCACTGTCATGGAACGCAATCTCTTTTTCCATTAGGCTGGAGACTCCCCTTCCCTACTGAGAGACAATGGTCAATTGGGCAGCACAGGCAGTGGGCCAATCCTTTTATAACAATTACCCAGCCCTTGAAGTGATCTTTGATGAGCTAAAGAACCATTTATCCCCCCTAGAGCCATCAGGAGGCCTTGCTTCCTTAGGTGGCACCAGTAGGGATCAGTACAACTCCCAGTGGAAACAGACAACTCAAAGTGACCAAATAGCACCACAAAGGCTCTGAAAATTAAATTGTTGGTGGAACCATAGCCCACAAATGTAAGCCAGGACCTGTGTGCTGAACCTAAATAGAATAGATGATGTAAATAGTATCCAGAGTCTCCTAACACAATAACCAAAATGTCCAGGATGTGATAAAAAAAGAATTACTGGTCAAACCAAATACCAGGCAAAACATAACTTGAATGAGAAAAAATAATCCACAGATGCTAATACTGAGTTGAAACGGATGTTAGAATTATCTGACAGAGAATTTAAAGAAGCCATCATAAAATTACTTTAACAAGCAATTACTAATTATCTTGAAACAAATACAAAATAGAAAATCTCAGCATTCTAAAGAAGTTATTTAAAAAAAGAACCAAAGGAAAGTACAGAAGTCAAAAATACAACAACCAAAATAAAAACTCACTGGATTGGATAAATAGTACAATGAGACAACAGAGGATAGAATCAGTGAACTTAAGGACAGACCAATACAAGTCACTGGATCTGAACAAGAGAGAGAAAACAGATTGGAAAACCAACCAAAAAAACAAAAAATCAGAATCTTGGGGACCTGTGGGACAATAACAAAATATCCAACCTTGGTACCATATAAGTCCCAAAAGAAGAGAAAGAGAGTGAGGCAGAAAGAATTTAAGAAATAATGGTCAAAACTTCACAAATTAGGCAAAAGAAATAAACATACAAAATCAGGAAGAGGAGCAAACTCAAACAGGATAAACCCCAAAAGGTCCAAATCAAGATACAGTGAAATTAGGGCTTCCCTGGTGGTGCAGTGGTTGAGAGTCCGCCTGCTGATGCAAGGGACACGGGTTCGTGCCCCGGTCCGGGAAGATCCCACATGCGGCAGAGCGGCTGGGCACATGAGAGAAAGACATATTACCTATAAGAAAACACCATTTCAAATGACAATATATGACCTCGTTTGAAATTATGGAGGTCAGAGGCAGTGGCACGTTTTTCAAGTTCTGAAAGAAGAGAACTGTTGATCGTGAATTCTTATCCAGTGAAACCAACGTTCAGGAATCAAGGGGAAATAAATATATTTTTAGAAGGAGGAAAACTAAAAACATGTTTCTCTAGCAGATCCGTCTTAAAGAAAAGTTAAAGTTCTTCAAACAGAAAAGAAGAAATTTTGAAGCATCAAGAAGGAAGAACAAGTGAGAGAACAAAAAATATGGATAAATACAATATAGACTACTCTGCTGCATTTTCCTGACTATATGATGGTTAAAACAAACATTATACCATCAACTGATGCAGTGTTCAACATGTTAAGAAGGAATAGTTAAAACAAATAAAAAGTGTCAGGGCAAAAGGACCTAATGGAAGTAAGGTTTCCATACTTTACCAGAAGTGGTAAAAGTAGTAGACTGGGATAAATCGTGTATGTATAGCATTTCAATACCTGGAGCAACTACTAAGAAAATATACAAAGTGATACACTCAGAAACTCTATAGATAAATTAAGATGAAATCCTTTTATATAGTGTCTTGAAATAACTAAAATTATAGAGATGGAGAAAAGATTAGTTCCTACCAACGGTGAAGGTTAGTAAGGGGTGGAGGGGGAGGGGGAGTGATATGAGCGTGGTTATAAAACTACAGCATGAAGGATCCTTGTGGTGATAGAACCGCTTTGCATCGTGACTGTGGTGATGGATACATTAACCTACATATGCAATGAAACTGGATAAAACTAAACACATACACACACACACACGCACACACACAAACGAGTACATGTAAAACCGGTGAAACTCAAATAAGATTGGTGGACTATGTCAATGTCTATTTTCTAGCTGTGATATCTTTCCAAGATGTTATTTGGGTAGAGGGTACATGGATTTCTCTGTATTATTTCTCACAACTGGGTATGAATCTACAATAATAACTCAGCTTAAAATATTTTATGCACATTAGATGGAATGGGGAAATGGTTTTGATATCAAAGCTTGAAACTCATTATATACATTTGCCACAGAGTAAGAAGGGGATCCCAAGTGCCATATATTCTTAAATTGCCTATACCTTTCCTCTATGCTTTCTGAGAGGAGCAGGAAATTAAAAAATATATTTGGTAAAATTCTAAATTTTCATGATTTTAAATATACTTTAAAAATCATCCTCCCACTTACTCAATAACACACACCTGAATGATTATCGTCCATCTATTACCATTCTTTGTTACCTCTAATTTCATAACGACATATACACTTGCAAACATTTTCAAAACTGATTTTTATCAACTATAAAAATTAAGGAAGACTGATTACAATTGTGTTTGCGACTCCACTAAGTTACAGCGGACTTTTTATAAAAATGTCTATTTTGTACACTATCTCCTACACTCCCTATTATATATGCCTTGTTCAGTTGCTAGAGGAAAAGAGGGGGACACAGATTTGTCATTTCCCCAATAGGACCTCATGCTATACCAACCACTTTTCAAAGGTATGATTTATTTAAAAAAATATTTATCACATATTTCTTGTTTTTTTATAAAAAAGAAGTCTCCAAAAGGGAAAAACCTCAGTTCCTGCAATGATACTGTGTGGGTAAAACATGTTACTCACCCCCTGTGTTCAATTTCATTTCTTCTAACACAGGTTGCACTGACAGAGAGACAGAGCTTACAATTTTTAGTGAATCTTGGCAAAAGGAATTTAACTCTCTTTTGGTCAGACTATTTTATGGAAACTATATTTTATATATATATATATATATATATATATATAAACTATATAACTACATAATATTACTGAAGTCAAACTGAATTACTCAGTGCATACAAATAGAAAATGTTCATATTTAAACCATTTGTGTGGAGTAAGGCTAAAAGCACTGACTTTGGTATCAGAAGATCTGCTTTAGGCACTTATATGAGGTCAGGTTTCCTGTGGATAATAATTCCTGATTCATTTCCATCTTTGCATTATGAGAACTATGATATCATGTTACATGTAAAGTGATTTAAACAAATGTGCAATGATATATTAAAATATTTTAGGTTTGGAATCCAGATGAGAACCTAAATATTTAAAGTCTGAAATGTCTCGATTCAGCTTACCAAATCCTATAACTTTTTGAGTTGTTTTATAATTACTACCAGGTTTGACTAAAAATTAGACTCTGAAAAGTAGAATACATGTATTTTAATGTAACCTCTGTCATTGGTTAGCCATATCAATAGGTAAGTCACCTATTGTGTACCCCAGTCTGCTGAGTATTAGGCGGAGATAATAACAATTGAGTGAAAGTATAAGGTATATGATTTAGAGAAATGAAATACATGAATAGATATTCAAAACCTGAAAACATATTCCCAAAAGGGAAGAAAGTGACACAGTTAGCAAAGGGATTATTTATTGTATAAATTTCCTTGATAATTCATTTGCCAAAAAACAAAGAGCTGCCTAAGGAAATTTTTATTGGACTGAATATTTTATTTTATTTTAGTAGCTATAAACATTTTTTATTATAGAGAAGTTAAGTGATTTCAAGATTGGAAAGTGTCCATTGTATTTGGACAGTGTCGGTGAGTTTGGCTATATCATGAGAAGGTTGCTAAGAAGGAACCAGATTGCACTCTTGGATGAGAAGAGTAGGAGACAGTCCAGGGTCAGAAGGAAGGGAGGCTATTTTTCTGGAAGGAAGAGACTGAATCATATTTATAGGCTCAAGAGAAAGGGGATCAATAAAGGCATGAAAAATAGAAATGGCA